AAGGTGATCCTGTGGGGAGTGGGCTCTGGTAAGAATTTTCATCTGTTTGAAAGACCAGCAAGGAGATTTTCTGCTTGCTGGGTTCTCACCGAATGCCTTCATGTTGGGGAAGGGGCCACGCGGAGGCCCAGCCTGAAGCTGGGTCACCCATCTGGGGCAGGGCCACCAGAGTTGCTGTCACCTGCTGCCTCCCTAAGTAGACCTGGGAGTGAGGCTGGGCTGGATGTGGGCGGGGATGCCCGGTGGCAACCTAACAGCAGCGCAGTGCCCACCCCACAGATGGGGTGTCCTGTTGTGGAGCTGACTCATTTCAGTTAGATGTTTTAATTGCAACGATAGACACATTCACCTTCCCGAGTCCCCGTTTTTGTCTACAAGGTTAGAAGTCCTTCACCAGTGACCCAGGCTCAGAGCAGTCCATGAGTGTGTGATAACTCACCATGTATGCTGTGGTGTATCCCTCAGGTACTTGTTGGGTTCAGCTTTACCGTTTTGTTGGAGGTAGTCTGAAATGTGACATATACTTCACTGCTTTAGAGCAAGATCCTGAGCGTAAGCCACACTTCCCTACGGGACAAGAGGAGTCATTTGAATCAAACATGGGTGTTGCCAGGTGAACACAGGGATGTCATAGGGCCTAGAGATGTGTCAGATCCTGAGAACCTTCTGTAAATGACTCTCTGTCTCTTTTTTAAAAGGTTTATTTATTTTCATTGGAAAGGCAGATTTATAGAGAAAAGGAGACACACAGAAAGATCTTCCATCACTGGTTCACTCCCCAAATGACTGTAATGGCCAGAGCTGAACTGATCCAAAGCCAGGAGCCAAGAGCTTTTTCGGATCTCCTGTGCAGGTGCAGGGTCCCAAAGCCTTGGGCTATCCCCTTCTACACCTCCAGGCCACAAGCAGGGAGCTGGATGGGACGCGGGATCACCAGGATGTGAACTGGCACCCTAATGGGAACCTGGCACGTGCAAGGCGAGGATTGAGCTACTGAGGCCTGGTGCCGGGCCCCTGCAAAAGGCTCTTGACATGTCGCGTGGGCTGCTGCTTCCTGGTGATGTCTTCCCTGCTTGTTCAGACTGCTTGGAAATGCAGCCCCTTGAAAGCCATGCATGCAGGGAGGGTTGAGTGCTGAGTGTAAATGCTCGAATGCTAGTTGAGTTTTACAATATTCATTTTGTTTTACTCAGTGTTTCCTAATAAATTGCCAAGCATGTCAGTTTTCTTCCTTGTCGGCGTCTCTTGGTGACAGCCCACGGGGGTTTGCTGTGAAGTCCTTTTCTACAAGTGTTATGTGAGACTCCGGGCTTGCAGTGGTGACTAAGGCGCATGTGATTCCTGGCTCGTGGAGTTTACAGCTGATAGAAGTGTCCCGGGCTGGTGTCCCCTAGCAGAGTGCCTGGTAGGCTGAGGCCTGGGGCCTCTGCTGCCGATCCTGCTCACATTTGCTCTGGGAGGTGCTGTCGGTAGCTGGGTCCGGGCTCCTGCTTGGGAGAGCTGGGCTGAGTTCCCAGCTGCTGGCTGCTGTGGACCCAGGCCTTGCTGTTGTGGGAGTGTGGCAGAGTGAACCAGTGGATGCGAGAGTGAGCTGTGTTTCTGCCCTTCAAGTAAAAGTGAAAATAAATAATTGAAAGACATTTAAAGATAGATTATATCCAAGGGAGCAGAAGCAAGCCAGTAGGGTGGCAAGTATGACACCGATGTGATAGAGGAGACAGCTCTGTTCTGAAGGTGACATTTAGGAAGGGCAAAGAGGCCCAGGGATTGCTCATGGGCGGCCTGGAAAAGAGCAGATGCCGAGACCCAGCACCAAAGCCAACTCGGCTGGGCTGCAGAACAGAAAGGCTATTTCTGCATGAGGCCGGAGCCCTGGCAGGAGATTGGGAGCTGAGAGGGCCAGAGAGGACTGAGAAGGGATTAGGAGGACCCTTAGGCTGCTGCCAGCATTCCAGGTAAGGCGTGACCCTGGCCTGGCTAGAGTGGTGGGTGTTAAGTGAAAAGGGGGCATTTTAGTTCTGGGTGTAAAACCATATTTTACAGCTTTCCCACATGGTATGGAAAAACAGCCACATCCACTTTCGTAGTCTGATTCCCCAGTTGTGTCTGTGTGTGTAGTATTTTTGCTTTGGCTTGGTGAAGAGCAAGTTCAAAGAATTGTGGCTGCCTATACTGTTGACTGGGGACCAGTCTGACGACATTACCTCTTTGTCCACTTGCCGTCGCACTCTGGAGTGGCAGTGCCCACAGTGCAGGGCCTTTCCCACAAGATCATGGGTGCCATCAGCTGCCAGCAAATACCTGAGCGGCCAGGTGGGCCGTGTGTGGCTCCATCTGGTTGGAGGAGAGCCCATCCCGTCACAACTGCTTCCACAGTCTGGACAAGCTCTTTTCCTTCCCAGCAGCTCATAAATGCAGGTTACTTAGGATAGACTTGGCTGAATTCTAGGATGACCTGCCTTTGCTCATTTGTTTGATAAGGAAAAAATGTACATATGAAGGTCCTTGAGAAAGATTTTGGCAGAACAAAACTGAAAGGTGAGTGTGACTTTGGCCCAGAAGTTTTGAAATCTGTGTCTAGGTTTTTCGGAGTCTGCCTTCTCCATGGACTTCGTGGGTGTGTGCTTAGGACGATCAGCTTCCTGAGAGCTCTGTGTTACAGGCTCTTGGCTCTTGCCTTAGAGCTGGCGAGGCATCTTGGTTAGTTCAGGGAAGGAGTTGCTGTGTGCCTGCCTGTTCTCTGCCTTTTTTAAACCATTCAGTATGCTTGAATTGGGTGGTTTTGGTAGAGTATAAACAGCTCACTCATTTTTCTTAACATAATTTAGAAGCTTGTTTCGTTCAGGATATTTGTAGGCTAAGTGTTGAAGCACCACCGGCCAAGCTGTATCGTGGCATCCCTGCCTGCCGTATTGTGGCATCTCCAGCATGGCCGGGGCTGGGTGCGGCTGTACTGGTGCTCAGAGGATGCTGCAGGGTCAGCCTGCTGCCCTGGCCCCCTACGCATTGCTTACTTCATGTTTTTTTGACCTTGATTGGAAAAAAATGTTAGAAAAGGTTTATACTTAACATTAGCCAGTTTTATCATTGGCTGCTTTATTTGCTAGGCTGTTTGACCATGATCTTGAGACACTGTTAAGATCTGGGCATTTTGAATCTATCACGTTCCCTGTACCTGGATACCAAGTGATATTATTGTTCACTGTACTAGAAAGGTGATAGCCATAATAAAAACAGCAGATATTTGCTTTATTGGCAGGAGCTAAAGTTTATGTAGGACTTAGGCTGTGTGTTGTTGATACTTTATGTATATGACTGAATTTGGAACTGTATCAGTGAGGAAACTGAGGCTTAGAAAAGGTAGCTGTAAGTGCTTGGAGTCACTATGTGTGTATATATATATATATATTAATCTAGGCAGTCATCTGTTTAATTACTTTGGTTAAAGTGGGTTTTTGTGGTTAAAAGGCAGAGTGACAGTTGGTGTACTCCTTAGATGGCCACCTGGGCCAGACCTGAAGCCAGGGGCCAGGGACATGGTCACTGACTCCCTTAGGGTGGCAGAGGCCCATGTTCTTGAGGGTCATCTTCCAGAGCCTTAACAAGCGTGTTAAGGGAGCAGGCAGGACTAGATGCCAGTGCTGGAAGCGGCAGCTTAACCACTGCACAAAGTAGGTGGTTATTCACCAACACAACAAACCCTTTTTTAATTTTGGGTACAAATAGAAAAACCTCATGCCTAGGGCCCGGCAGCATGATCCTAGTGGCTGAAGTCCTCACCTTGAACGCACCAGGATTCCATATGGGCGCCGGTTCTAATCCTGGCAGCTCCACTTCCCGTGCAGCTCCCTGCTTGTGGCCTGGGAAAGCAGTCGAGGACAGCCCAAAACCTTGGGACCCTGCACCTGTGTGGGAGACCTGGAAAGAAGTTCCTGCTTCCCGGCTTCGGATCAGCACAGCACCGGCCATTGTGGTCACTTGGGGAGTGAATCATAGGATGGAAGATCTTCCTCTCTGTCTCTCCTCCTCTCTGTATATCTGACTTGGTAATAATAAAAAAATAAATCTTAAAAAAAAAGAAAATGACAATGCAATAGTAACATGTTTTAAACATTTAAAAAATTTAAAACATTTTTTTAAATGTTTGAAAGGCTGAATCAGAGAAAGGAGAGGACTTTTGCATCTGCTGCTTCCCTCACTGAGCGAGCACAGCCACCAGGCCCAAGGCCAGAGCTTTGGTTGGCTGTTCGTGTGTGACAGGGGCCCACACTCTTGGGCCCATGGAGCTGCTTTCCCCAGGCCTTCAGCGGGAGCTGGATTGGAGTTAGGGCAGCCAGAGCATGAGCCAGCACTGATATGGGATGCCAGTGTCAGGTGGTAGCTCTACCCACTAGGCCACAGTGCTCATCTCTCCATTAAAGTATTGATTAGTAAATCAGACATTCCTGTTTTCCTGTGATAGCATGTTCAGTTAATACCAAATAAAGGTTTAAAATTGAAAAAAAAATGACAGAACTGCTATTTTTAAAAAGTATAAATATTTTTCATACTAAATTACTAAATTGTTTGTAAACAATTTGTAATTCCACTGACAGTGCATGATGATTTCTGTTAAGAACTTGGCAGTGTAAAATATTCTAAAAATCTCTTGTTCATCTTTGTGAGTAGCTGAATTAAGATGCCGCCCATCTCGGGTTGTTTAAAATCCCTGCGTGCGTCTCCAGCCTCCCGGAGTGTTATGAAGACACAGCGTTCCCAGGGGTTGGGCTCCCTGTGTGAGGCGGGACTTAGTGACCAAGCACATCACATGTCATTGTGTGGGACAAAATGTGTCCTCTGTAAGATTGTACTGGACAGCTGAATGCTGCGTATTTGAAAATGTTAAATTTACAGAAACATGCGTGAAAGAAATAACTTACGATACTACCAATTTAAATTGAAATACACGCTACATTTTCATTCTTTTTTTTTTTTGCTGCTCAAGTCAACCAAAGGAAACTTTATTGAGGCCGTGGGCGGCAGTTGACGGCCTGGGGGTGCAGGCGGGCGTAGCACTTGCGGCAGATCATCTTGTCACAGTTGTACTTCTGCGCCAGCTGGCGCAGGGACGGCTCTATGATGCCACCCTGTAGGCGGAGCACCAGGTGCAGCGTGGACTCTTTCTGGATGTTGTAGTCCGACAGAGTGCGGCCATCCTCCAGCTGCTTGCCGGCAAAGATGAGACGCTGCTGGTCCAGGGGGGTGCCCTCCTTGTCCTGAATCTTGGCCTTGACGTTCTCGATGGTGTCGCTGGGCTCCACCTCGAGGGTGATGGTCTTGCCCGTCAGGGTCTTCACGAAGATCTGCATGGTGGCGTCTGAGGCACCGCTTGGCCGCCCGGCTGGAGAGAAAGAGCACATTTTCATTCTTAACAATCCTTGCTTCCTGCCAAATTAAAAGGAAAAAAAAGGCCAAAATGAAGATAGCATCAAAACTAAGTAATGTGTGTCAAGTCAAAACCATAAAGGAAAAGATGGTACTTTACAGAATGTGGCCTTTCTTGTGATGTAATGCAATGAGATGGTCTTGCTAAAGCCATTTCAGGTAGTACTGTTGGTTTACCTAGTGTGGCAGAGATGGAAGCTGCAGCAAACAAAGTCCTTGCCATGACTCAGCACTTCACAGGGAGGCAGCTGCGGCTGTGAGGGAGTGTGCGTGAAGGCTGGGTTGTCAGAGTGTGAGGGGGTGTGCTGGTGAGGAAGGTGAAGGGACGGGTGGCGTCCTGCGCTGAGGGAGGAGAATGCCAGTGTGGGGTCCTCAGGCAAGGCAGACTGACTCAGTGACAGGGGAAGCGCGGGGCCAGCACTGTCTGCCATCTGTTGGTTCACTCCCAAAGGGCCGCGATGGCTGTGCCAATCTGGAGCCAGGAGCTGGTGCTTCCTCCAGGTCTCCCATGTAGGTGCAGGGAACCAGCACTTGGGCTAGCCTCTGCTGCTCTCCCAGGTGCGTTAGCAGGGGGCTGGATGGAAGTGGAGCAGCTGAGACCAGAAACAGTGCTCACATGTAATGCCAGTGGGCAGGTGCAGCTTCCCCTGCTGCGCTACAGCACAGACCCCTGACTCAGGTTTGCAGGCTGAATACACGAAGCCAGAATAGAGAGAGAAATACAGTCATGATGAAGGTGACTCTGAAAGCCATTGGTCAGCTTCAGGAAAAGTGTGGAGAAAGATAACCAAGGTACTGAAGGTGGCTCTCAGATGAAAGGAAGTTTCTGTTCTCCTGGCAGAAGACTGGTCTGTGATGAGCAGCCGTGGGATGTGGAAAGCCGGGCTGATGGGGACTCAGCAGCTGGAAGTACTGTGTTTACAAGGAATTGGAGTGAGGAGGGTGAGGCCTGAAGGGTTGTGCAGGCTGGCCGCCTAGGAAGGCAGGAGAGGAAGAAGAGCAGCAGGGAACCCATGAGGTGAGGGTGAAGAGAAGGCTGGCAGTGGGCTGCAGTCAAGGGGTTCAGAGTCCTAAGGGAAGAGTGGCCTTGAAGTTTTGTTTAAGTGAAGAAGGTTCCTTCTTTTTTAGAAATAGAGGCTGTAAGGGTGTATTCTGGTAGCAACAGATCAACACATCAGAAGTTTGAAGGGGAAGGCTTTGTCAGGGAAGAGGACCCGTGAATTGGGTAAGGGTAAGAGTACGGGCCACCAGCGGGAGTGGTCCACACCTTGCCCTTACCTAGGGTGAGGAGGCAGTGAAATGGAGGTAAACCCAGCTTATTTCAAGTCTCTGTTTAGATTTAGTTACGAAATTGCAGTCCCTTTTAAGGCTTTTCCCTGGTAAACTTTTAAGATTATTTTGAATTTAAATAAGTGAAATTAGTTTTGATATTATTTTGTGGGGGAAGCTTAAGCTTCTTATTGTAGGATCATCTTAGGTGTTACAGGAAGGGGCTCAGTGTGTGTGGTTTGAACGAATTCTGTTTTCTTCTGTTGATTGCTCTTAAAGGTGGGCAGCGTGGGTGAGCTTCTGATCAGCTCTGAAGCCGTGGGGATTCTAGCGGGATTCTAGCAGGATTCCAGGGCGCAGGAGCGGAAGGGCCGACATGTCTGCTGTCCGTGCTGTTGGACACCCAGACACAGGGGCACCTGGGGCAGTTCTTGAGAATGCTTGGACAGTTCCCATTTTGCTTTTCATTTTTCCTCTCGCTTTCCCCTCCTCTTTTCCTTGCATTTTTTCTTCTTATCATTTGTGTCAGAAATTTGAAATTGTTAGCTACTTCTCATTTCCAACAATAAAATTCAAAGCTAGGAAAAGTTCCTGCCCCATCTGTTGAAATACTGCACTTCAGTTCCTTTTTTAGGATACTTAAGTGGTAGCTCAAATGAGCCTTGTATTCTTTTGTTTATATACTGGTGATTAGTTAACAGTCAGCCTCGTGTCATTATGTTCAAGTTTTGATTTGATTCAGCTGCTAAGATAATTGGTTTTTAACATTTCATAAATTACTTATAATGGTTGTGTGTTAGACTTTTTGTTATGTCTCAGACCTTCTCTGCATATAATCTGTATTCTGTGTACTTGATCTTTGCTTAATTTAAATGGTTTAAATAATTTGTGACGATATGTAATAGCATATTCTTGCTTTTATTTTTCTTAAATAGATTTGGATTGAGCAACAAATTTGAATCAGAATTCCCTTCTTCATTAACTGGAAAAGTGAGTATCTTAAAATTCTGTATTTGTACCTCAAAACTAAATATTTTCTTAGCAAGCTAGAAAATATGCTAAAGAGACTTCTTATTGACATAAAAAATTGCAATGTTCTTACTTGTTAAAAATTTCTCTTTAGGTAGCTCCTGAAGAATTTAAAGCCAGCATCAACAGAGTGAACAGCTGTCTTAAGAAGAGCCTTCCTGTCAACGTGCGCTGGCTGCTTTGCGGCTGCCTCTGCTGCTGCTGCACACTCGGCTGCAGCATGTGGCCGGTCATCTGCCTCAGTAAGAGAGTAAGTTGATGCTGTGTTGTAACTTAAATTTACAAGTAGATAAACAGCCTTTCTTTTGTTTTTGCATTTGCCTAGGTTTTTTTCTTTTTTGTCTTGAATGAATCACATTGTATTATCACATGAAAGTAACGTGATCCAGTAGAGGAGTGATTAATTTTTTGTGTACCTAGGTGTAATTATATTAAATAGCCATTGAAAGCTATGTTTTAATCGACATAGGAAGTCATTGAGCTCAGCCTAGGGGACACTTAGCTCAGTGTGTGAATGTGAGTGCCGACAGCACCACAGAGCAGGAGTTCAGGCTGCGGGGTTCCGGTTCCCTGTGGCAGTCGGCTGCCTCCTCAGCACTGTCGTCGTAAAGTGGAGAAGTTGGTCAGGCTGGAGCTGAATGACTGCAGAAGGGCCCTGTCAGGATTGAGTTACAGCACAGCGTTGTTAGTAATGAAACGCTTAGTGCTCATAGAAGAAATAAAATGGTCATTTCTAGTTGCACGACCAAGAGGATTTTTTTTCATTTCTTTTTGTATTTTAATGTTTGAGTACATAATAACTGGTCAGAAGAGATCATCTAAAGACATTTTTACAGGTTATAATAAAACATTCTTAAGGTGTTGGGCAGTTAGTCTAGATTGGCTGCTTTACATTTCTGTTAAAGTTTAAAAAATAGTATTCATCACATACAAAAGAAGTAGTAAGTTTCATTTGAATAAATGATTTTGTATAACTACATGTCATTTTGTTACCAATTAATGATAGAAAATACAGAAAGACAAGTTCTGTTTGTCATTTGTCTATTATAAGATAGAGGTGTATTTCTGCTGAAAGTTTTTTGATTAGTATATTTTATTGGTACAAAGGAGATAATGCCTTTGTAATGGAATTATTCTTATAATATGAGAAAGTTTAGAACAGTCATGAAAAACTGGAACTAGGGGATAAGTTATCGACCTACCATGTGAGATGATGCTCAGGCTGTCCAGGGTGAATTTCCAGCTCTAGCTTTTGTCCCAGCATCCCACTAACGAGGATCCTAGGAGGCCTCAGGGGTGACTCCAAAAGTTGCATTCTTGTCATCTACATGGAAGGCCTGTGTGGGTTCCTGGTTCACAGCATCAGATCTTGGTTCTTGTGCAGTTCTGGGGAGTAAACTAGTGGGAATGTCTGTCTCTTTCTGATCTCCCTGCCCCTCTGTCTCTCAAATCAGAAGAAGGAAAATACCACTAAAAAGTGTAAACTTTGTTTTCAACGTAAGCTGCGTGAAGTTCAAGACAGCAGTGAGTGTTGATACCAGTCGTCTCATGTGTTCACAGAGAGGCCCTGGGACCGTGTTCATATCATCCAGTTCGTGTTGTTTGCCAAAGAAGAATGTATGTCCTTTCCAGGATCTAAAGAGAAGCCGGGTTGGCACCCTGGGGTGGGTGTCTGGCAAGGTCCCCTCAGTGCTTCTGCAGAATGGCCTTCTGTGGAAGGGGGCTGAGCAGGAGCACCGCTTCCCTGGCTGCTGTGCTGCCACAGCTGTGGCTGACCCTCCATGCGCTCCCTGCAGCGGTCATTCTCTGACTTCCAGAGAGACGGCAGAGTGCCTCGAGCGTCCCAGCACACACACGAGCACATACAATACTTCATGCATCCCAACACATGTGTGCACAAGGTGCCTCGAGCGTCCCAGCACACACACACACGAGCACATACAGTACTTCATGCATCCCAACACATGTGTGCACAAGGTGCCTCGAGCGTCCCAGCACACACACGAGCACATACAATACTTCATGCATCCCAACACATGTGTGCACAAGGTGCCTCGAGCGTCCCAGCACACACACGAGCACATACAGTACTTCATGCATCCCAACACATGTGTGCACAAGGTGCCTCGAGCGTCCCAGCACACACACACACGAGCACATACAGTACTTCATGCATCCCAGCACATGTGTGCACAAGGTGCCTCGAGCGTCCCAGCACACACACACACGAGCACATACAGTACTTCATGCATCCCAACACATGTGTGCACAAGGTGCCTCGAGCGTCCCAGCACACACACGAGCACATACAATACTTCATGCATCCCAACACATGTGTGCACAAGGTGCCTCGAGTGTCCCAGCACACACACGAGCACATACAGTACTTCATGCATCCCAACACATGTGTGCACAAGGTGCCTCGAGCGTCCCAGCACACACACACACGAGCACATACAGTGCCTCAAGCAGCACACACCTGCATGTGTGTACACATGGTGTTCGCAAGGCCTTTGCTCAAGCATTGGACCCTTCGGCTCCCAGTAGCTGGTTCTTGGTTATGCTTTGTCTTTATGAGTATACTGGGAAATCTCCTAATTTTTGGAAGAAATACTTCAGCACTTTAGTCCCACTGGTTTAAAGTTTCTGTTGGAAAAAAATGTTCTTATTTTTGTGCCCCCTGAGCAGAAAGCTTATTTCGCTTTAAGTTTTCCAGGTGTCTGTAGTACTGTCACTTCTGTTGTCAGTTGGTGGTCTTGTATTAGAAGAATACAAGAATGAGCAGGATTACTTTTATGTTTCAGAAACTGATGTGAAAGTTGTGCTTTGTGGCTTCATCTACATCGTCTTATCCCTTCTTAACAATCAGGACAGCCTCTGGACTTGGAGTGGAGCGTCAGCGGCTCCTCGGTCCCCATCCCTGTGCTCGGTTTCCGCCCTTGCCTTGGCTGTAGTGGAGTTGGTACTGCTTTGAAAGAGGCTCCTTCAGTTAATGCCTTACCCTTAGTTCTTCAAGCCGTGCTTGTTCAGACACGATTAGCAACTTAGTGCAACGTCATTTTGTGCAAAAAAGTTTTTAAATTAATATGTAGTTTTTTCATAATAAACATTTTCTTTAAACTTTATAGAGAAACCTTGTATTTACTCTAATAGCTAAAAATATTTACTTTTTTCTAAGACTTTTTTTTTTTCATACATTGTAGTAGGTTTTCCAGATCATATGGCATGTTTTTTTTGGAAAAAAAAAAATTCTTTATTTGAAAGAATTCCAGACCTATAGAGAGACAGATCTTTAATCTGTTGACTCATTTCCCAAATGGGCCACAATGACTAGGACAGACCTGGAGATTGTCCTGGGTCTCCCTCATAGGTGGCAGGGTCCAGGCACACGGGTCGTTATTATCCTGCTTTCCCCAGGCAGGTAGCAGGCAGCTCGATCAGAAGTGGAGCAGTGGACCCATGAATTGGTCCACCTAGAGTCCCAGCATTACAGGCAGTGGCTTTACCTGCTGTGCTGCAAATCTGGCCGCAACGCAGGAAAGTTTTTTGTTTTAAATTTTTGGATCTACAATTGAGTTTTCTGTCCTGCAGTCCCTTATACTATTTGGTTGTTTCTGTTGTTTCATTATCTTGCTTGATTGGTAATTACTGTAATGTATTTTCTTTTTAAAAGATTTATTTGAAAGGCAGAGTTACAGAGAGAGAGAAGAGAGCTAGAGATCTTTCACCCACAGGCTCACTGTTGGACCTGGCGGGCTGCAGTTAAGCCAGTGTGAACCCGGGACCCTGGAGCTCTGCCACGCCTCTCCTGTGCACCGAGTGCCGCTGCCGCCCCAGGCGCACCTCTCAGGGCTGGCACTTGAGCTGGCACCTAGGGGATGTCTGCATTCCAGGTTGTAGATTAAGCCATTATGTCACAACGCCAACCCAGTTACTGCTCTTTTATCCTGGAATCATGAGGTTTGTTGAGACCTAGCTTTTCATTTTGAGATTATTTTTTCTGAAAGTATTTGTGTGAGAGGAAGGGGAGAGAGTGTTTCCATTCACTGGCTCACTCTCCAGATGGCTACAGGAACTGGCATCTGGTGTCCCCTGTGGGGTCCAGCCCCGGTGGCATCAGCTGCTGCCTGCAGTGTGTGCAGAGTCAGGACTCCGGGGGCGGCATGCACGTGTCCAGAAGTGACTGTTAGGCCAAACATCTCTTCCTACTTTTTGCTTTTTTTTTTTTAATTGAGTTACACAAAATATTCCAAGGTGTGGATATAGTACATTTAAAAACGTTCTCCCGATATTGTTTGTTTAATTTTTTTTCTTTTATTGTTTGAAAGGCAGGTGTACATACACACACACGTCTCCTGTCTGCTAGTTCACTCCTCAAATCCCCCGGCGGGGACACAAGCACTTGACCTGTGTCATCTGCTGCCTTTCCGGACACACAGGAGAAGGGGCTGTTAGTGGGAGCCACAGCTGGGCCTCGAACCGGGCACTCTGATGGGAGATGTGGGAGTTCCCTGAAGTGTCTTGGTTGTTGCACTGAATGCCCACCCCTCCCTCCATGCATTCCTGTTCGAAGATGACAGAGAGGAAAGTTAGAGAGCTTCCATCTGCTCACTGCAGCCAGGAAACTTCATGTGCACTCCTGCGTGGGGAGCAGGCCCAGGCCTTGGGCTGTCTGCTTTCCCAGGGCATTAGCAGGGAGCTGATGGGAACAAAGCAACAGGACTTGAGTTGGTGCTCTGATTCAGGACGCCAGGCTCTCAGGCAGTTGGTCAACTCACTTTGCCACAATGCTAGCCCTATATGTTATTAACTGACTTTCTAAGATGCTGAAATGTAGACACAAAGAGAAATCTTCCTTCCACTGGTCCACTGCCCAGTTGTCTGAAGGGACCAGACCAAGGCTGGGAGCCTGGCACGTGGTCAGGGCCTTGCTTGTGAGCCACAAGGGCCCAGACTTGGGTCAGCTGCTGCTGCGCTAACAGGTAGCAGGATCAGAAGCGGAGCATCTGGGACATGAGCCAGTGCTCATGTAAGGTGCTGGAATCCCAGCGTAGGTTTAACCCACTGTGCCACAATGCCAGCCCCATTTAATATGCTTTAATGATATCCACAAGATTACAAGATTACACTTGTCTAAAATTTAATTGTGAAAATATTGAAAACCCTAAGTGTGTGGTTTGTAAATATATTTCTTTATAATACACATAAAATATTGTCATAGCCAATCCATAGAAATATGTTGTAGGAAGA